AGATCACTTGAGGTCAAGAGTTCCAGACCAGCCTGGCCAATGTGGTGAAACCCGTTCTCTACAAAAATACAAAAATTAGCCAGGCATGATGGAGTGTGCTTGTGGTCCCAGCTACTCAGGAGGCTGAGGTGGGAGGATTACCTGAGCTCAGGGAAGTCAAGGCTGCAGTAAGACATGATCACGCCACTGCAGCCCAGCCTGGGCCACAAAGTGAGACGCTGTTATTTTTCTCAAATATATATATATAATTTTTTTAAAAAGAGAAGAAAACTAAAGAACACTGGGCAACCGGGTGCAGAAGGGGTGTTTTCATTGTGTTTGTTTTTTGAGACAGAGTCTTGCTCTGTTGCCCAGGCTGGAGTACAGTGGCATGATCACTGCTCACTGCAACCTTGACTTTCCAGGTTCAAATGATCCTCCCACCTCAGCCTCCCAAGTAGCTAGGACTACAGGTGTGCACCACCACGCCTGGCTTAGTGTGAATGTTTTTAAACAAGTGTCTTCTAGGTAGCTGGTGGCAATGCAATGAAAAAGTTTCATAAGGTGCATCATGTGCCATAAAAATATTCACCCAGGCCGGGTGTGGTGATACATGCCTGTGGTCCCAGCTACCCAGGAGGCTGAGGTGGGAGGACTGTTTGAGCGGAGGAGTTGCAGGCTGTAGTGAGCCATGATCATGCCACTGCACTCCAGCCTGGGCAACAGAACAAGACCTTAAGATCCTATCTCAAAAAAAGCACAACGAAAATGAAAGTTCACCTTTTGTCCCAGTAATTCTGCTTGTGTCTATACTATAGAAGTATTTTGAAATGGGAATGAAGATGTATTTAACCAGAGAGCGCTGCTTACACTGTTGAAAAACTACGTCCAAAAATATGGCAATGAGTAAATAAATGATGGTAGAATAGTATGCAGCTAATAAAAATATGTTTACAGAGTTTTGAACAGCATGGGGAAAAACGTGACACAATGTGAAAAGAACGAACCTGTATGCCTAGGATGTGAACTATATTCAAAGGCTACAAATACAGCAGAAGGACCTGCTGAGTGCTGACATTACTGAAGATTTGGAGGGGCTTTAAAACTTGTTTTCTAAATTTTCAACAATGAATATATTACTTTTTATTATGGTAAAAGGTACATAACATAAAATTTACCATTTTAACCATTTTCAAATGTATAATTCAGTGGCAGTAAGTCCACTCACATCGTTGTGCATCTCCAATCCCCCCATCTCCAGAACTTTTTCATCATCCCAAACCAAAACTCCGTACCCGTGAAACAGTAACTCCTCATTCCCCACCCCCTGCCATTGGTAACCACCATCCCGCTTTCTGTATCTATGCATTTGACCATTCCAGGCACCTCACAGAAGTAAAATCATTTGGTCTTTTCTGGAGCATACATTAATTTATAATCCTCCCTCAAATCCTGCAAATCAGGCATTATCCTCAGTTTACTAAGAAACGAGTTCGCAGAGGTTAAGTAACCGGTACAAAGAAGCAGGACTTGAGTTCCTGTCAGGTACCTGGGCTGTAGAAAGTGAATGCCGCGGCCTGGCGCCATGACTCACCCCTATAATCCCAGCACTTTGGAAGTCCAAGGCAGGTGGATCGTGAGGTCAGGAGTTCAAGACCAGCCTGGCCAACACAGTGAAACCCCGTCTCTACTAAAAAT